GGGGAGGGGTGGGGGGAAGGTGTCTGAAGATTTGGGGTTTAGTTCTCATTACCCTACTCTGATTTTGACTGGTCATAGATTAATTTTCCCAAGTCGAGTCTGTTTTGCCCGTGACGGTAACTGGTGAGTGATCCCTCCCTGTCCTCATCTCGACCCAGGAGCCTTTCGTTGTATTTTCTCCCCCCTGTCCAGTGGAGGAGGGGGCTGACAGAGTGGCTTTGGTGGGCACATGGCATCCAGCCAGGGTCAACGCACCACAGTTAACTATATGAAGGCAGAGCAAAACCAAGACTTATTTTATACTTCATAAACTAAGAAAAGATAGTTGTCTCCCTAGGAAAATGTAAGTTAATTGAATTTAAAAACAAAATCAGTATGTTCAAAATGCTGCTTGTCTACCTTAAAGAACAAATACTGAAGCATTGCAAAAGCTAAAAATACAGCTTTATGAGTAAAAGAAGCTTACTGAAACTCGTCATGTAGTGAAATAAGAGGCTGAGAAAAGTTAGAGACCTTAAAACACGATGAGAAAAAAAACTATGCAAATTAAAACAAACAAACTCAGAATTGAGAAATACAAAAGAAAATGCTAAACTGCCATCTCAGTAAAATGGTATCTTATTAGGGACATACAACAATCAGGATACAACCTGCTGTAGATACAGGAATGTGTGTAAAACTGTAAAAAAGTAATAAAAAAGTATTATTCTATAAAACCCACCTTTCTGTCAGAAACTGTACTTCAGCTTTTACTAAATCAAAGAAAAACTTCAATACTGTTTTGTAAGCTATCCTCTGTTCATCTCCTTTCTCTGAAACTGGGACTTCATGACAAATGGCTTTGCAATAAAGGCAAGACCTGAAAAATAAACACCGAAAAAATCCATTTGTATGACAGAAATCATAGTCTGATCTATCAGCAAAAACGTCAGCTTTGACTTTTGACAATTTTGACAAGGAAATACCTTGCTCACCAGAAATATTCATCATTTTAAAGCCTAACTTTCTGGGTTTAAAGCTGTATTTTCCAAAAAAACCCTTAAGCTGGGGCTTTGTTTCTACTATTTTGTATTATCATCTAAACTAAACAACTTAACTGTATTTAATTTTTCTGTCTCTACTCGAGGTACTGTATAATTACTGAATTTAACAGAACTTCTTTCAAATCCTTTAATTACAAGATGGTCTTATAATATTTTATAGACATTGCAACATCCTACAAACCTTAGTTCAGGTAAAAGTTCACATAGTATTTGACAGGACTACAGTTTTGATCAAGACTAATGATTGTCTAATGTGATGGAGATAATTTTGAAGCAAAGTGTGAACACATTTCTTTGGCTAGAACTTTAGAGTACTGGAAGCACCAGGTATACAACTGCTGGGCAGTCACATTCTGCCATTTAGTAGGAACTAAAAGATAAAATACTCTATCTAAAAGATAAAGCACCTTACATTCCATGCGACAGTTCCTATTAAAAACTGTTAAAATGTCCAATTACAGTGATTCAAGTACAGTGATGCAGTGCCCTTCAAGACTATAGACATGCTTACAATCATACACATTCATATATGTGTAATCACAGCTGTTTCAAATTACTTAAATGTTAGTTCAGATTTTATGACAGCAATAAGAAGAGGTACAGTTTCTCTTCCAAATGAACAGAAGAACTAATTTCTATTGATGTAAATTACAAAAAATGAGTTCTCAAGCTAAAGCATAGACTAACTACCCAAACAGTTCCTATGTACTGAGTCTTATATTTGTAGATGTACAGGATATAATCAGACTTCCTAAACAAGATGGTAAAGTTTATGACTAAAATCAAAACACAACATGAAGATTCATGTTTGGCAAGACAAGACTGGAATCTGCTTTGTAACTACAGATATGTATGTGTGTGTGTGTAGATATACCTACACACCAGTAATACATAGATTATTATAAATTGTGGAAAGCTTAAAAAATAAATACATTTTAAAAAAGGAAATGTATAAGAAAATGTACATTTTTTTCCTTTAAAAAAACCCACAACCCTCTGCCTGTGAGCTAACACTCACTGAAACATAAAGTGAACGGTCCAAATTTCAGCTACAATTCTAGACCTTCACATACACTTGATTTGTTCTGGTGAAAATGTAACTTTAATACAATAGAATTCCAACCCCCATTCCTGAGTTTGAAGTAACACAACTATTGCATCCAACATCTCATCAATCTTTCTTACCTTATAAGCACCTGTATGAAGGGCCACGTGCCTTCCTTACAGACAGGACACTGAAGAAGATCCAAATAATAATTCAACATAGATGGGGACTTCCAAGGAGGATCATGGTAGAGAATAAGGTCCAAAACATGATGAAATTTAGCATACAATATTGCATCACTCTGTCCCTGTATCCAAATGAGAAAATGATATTGACTCCATACTGGCCAAAGATCCATAATCACTAAGAGTTTATGTATTTTCTTTATTTCTTATAATCCCAAGGGACCAAATTTAATCAGTGAAGTAACATGCAATTTAATGCAAAATTCAGTTGTTTGTTTTTTTTTTTTAAAAAAAAAAAGGAAGGAAATAAAGAGAGCTTACTCTAGTGTGATATTCCAGCTGAATGTACCACTGCTTAGAACAAACCTTCCTCTCAACTGAGCTCTCTACCTGTGGCCTACTAGGTTAAACAACAAAGTCATACAAGCACTGTTCTAAGAGCAACAACAACAAAAAATTCTTGGCCAATTTTTCCACAAAATTTAGAGCATTACATTCATATGGCTTGTAAAGAAATAATAATTTTTAAAAAACCCTGAAGTATTAAATTTTTCCCTTTAAAACACAAACACATGTATGTAAAGTGAAGGGTGAATACATCACTAAAAAACACCAAGTGCAATTTCAGAAGCAAAGACTGCAATACTTCAATTTCTTGCTTTAACATTTATAGTACTTCAGCCTTCTATCTCTCACCTTTAGAGCATATTCTAGAAGAGAATGGAGCAGTCCCACGGGAGGTGTAGCATACTTCTGAGCAGCAGAAAGTTCTGTGATTACATCAGGAAATAACCGCGCTTCCACTAATCCTTCAAGTATATACCATGAGTTTCCGGACTGGCCAGTACATTTAACCTAGGAATGAGATATCTTTGTAAGTAAAGGAAAAGCTTAATAAAAAAAAATCCCTACACGACCTATCAGGAAATCTCTAAATAAAATGCCGGTAATATAATAAAACAGGGAGAAGATTATAGATTAAACCAGATATATCACTTATTGCCTGATCCAATAAGCTGCTGTCACCTAGAAAGGCCTTCACTCCCACTAAACTGGGCTTTCACTGAAAAGATAGCAGGTTTCAGAATGTGCTTTTCTTCTCAGATCTGAATACATCCACCCTTTTAAAAAACAAATTACACTTCACACACTCGATAACTCGTCTATAATTTATTCTGGAAAGGTACGTAAAGGAGTGTTAATATTTCCAAAAAGCTCAGAGTACATCCCACAATACATGGCTGGAGCAGTAAGATAATTAGTACCACTGAACATAAAGAAACTAGAGGAAAATGTAAAATCATGAAAGACATCATTTATGAGTACACATTATAAACCCATAAACCATGTAACTGTTTCATCTCCCTAGTTCTCCTATTCCCATATAGCATGTCAGAGCAGCAGCTAATGCTACAGATAGCACAGGTATCGATCCCAGTGGATTTCAAAGCTCTGAAGATCTTCTTAATGGCACAGGGCTTCCTTCTTATTCTCTGCCGCTCACGACAGCAAAACACTTAACTCTGCAAGCTTTCAGAGGACCCAGAAGGATCTAATGGCTTTCATGAAATGCTGTATCTGCCCTGAAATTTCCCTGTTATTGTCTGTACTCTCAGCTTTCCAAGCCTTTATTTCCACAGATTAATGATACGAAAGAGGAGGTACTGAAGATCTCAGATACATTGATATTTACATCTTTTCTCTAGCCCAGGTTCAAGCCAAAGCTAAGATGCACAAACCAGTTGCAACCATATTGCTGACTGAAGCACAGGTAACTTCTGTTTTGTCTGATCGCACAGCCTAAGGCTCTAGTAAATTCAAAGAAACTGGGATAGGGAGTCACAACTGAGAGCAGCAGAGTCGGTAAGACCATGGATTGGACTGCTGAGAATTAAACAGTTGCATAAATTGATTGTTGCTTTAGTCCATGACAACTTGTAGGCTTTATGATTTCTGCCAAAACACTTGGCTCCTAATGTACATTAGATAAAGATACTCAAGGTGTCTTATCATTTGTTTTAAAATTGGTTTAAAATTTAAATTAACATAGACTTTTGAGGCCAGTTGTGGGTTTGAGGTCTATGGAGTAAGCTGCTATTAGAGAAACAGTTTCCAAAAATGTTTCAGTAATAAACTAAAAATATTAGCAGCTCGGGTCAAACCTGAAAAACATTCTGAAAGACGTTGTAATAATGTTAATCACAGCTAAAGTCTCCCAGAACAAGCTCTACCTCAGCATTAGACACAGTTTCTCTGCAAATGTTTCACTTCTCAGATTCCTAATGTGTGCCGTTGTTACATTAGCAATAAATAAAGCTGCTCATCTAGACAATTTTCTTTTAATCAAGTCTTTGTGCATCTGGCGTTCGCAACTCACATTTATTTCAATTTTCTCATTCATATATGCACTATTAAAATCTTCACATTATTTCCTTCGGAAATAATGGTTGCATTCATACTTTTGTAATGTTAATTATATGCAAACAGCACATCTAAAGAGCAATCATAAACTGTTTAATGGCAGTCAAAGAACAACTTCTCTGTCGTCTGGATTTAAGATGTGTGAAGATGACTGAGTACATTGTGAATGTACAAGCATGTTACTACCCGCCCTCATCTGGTGATCCTACCAGCATCCATCTTTTCATACTGTGAAACTTGCTGCTCTTGACAATTCTGGTACTAGGAGAAACAGCAACATTGATGCATTATTAGGAAAGTACACTGACACAAAGCTGCTTTGGGAGAGTGCGAGGCCTTTTGCATTACATCCAAGATAAAGAGGAACTGGAGAACTGGTTTTCAGCTGATTTCTAAGGGGTAAGGAAGAATGATAGAAAACTGAGCTGAGAAACTTTTTTCAGTACCAGGAGACGTCTATTCTAGAGCCTTAACGTTCAGTAAGCTGTACAAAGCTGCACTGGCTTGCATTCTGGCTGATGAGGAGCTAGCAGTTTCTGGTGAAGGACTGCTGGTACAACCATTAAAACTTTGAGGAGAAACAAGCAAAAATGGAAGGTCTACGAACAATATATTGTGTTTTATATAGCGTAAAGTGGAAGAGAAGCTGACAAAAGAGAAATAAATATTTTAGGGGAGATGATAGATAACTGAACACTTAGCTGAGTTAAGCCTTGTTAGCAGAAGCACACCGAGATGAGTGAATAAAGTAAGTATTAACTGTTAATTTAGTTTGTAGGCTTTCTTTTACTTCAATAGCATTATTGGAAATGTTTATTGGAGCTATTTTTAAAAAGTCATAAATACACTGCCTATGAAGTCCCATATCAGATGCTAGCAATGGATATTACACAAAGCAATAAAACACAGTGGCAGGTCATGCATAAGAAAAGTGTTAGAATTAGGCTTAAAATTTCCAAAGAAAAAATTACATTAACAGTACAGAATAACCATTTCAGTTTACATATGTTAAGAAAACTGTGGGTTTTCTCCCATAAATTCAATGAACTAAACATTAAATTTCAATGAAATCTGTTCAGTAACAGAAATGCATGCAGCATTTTTCCCATTAGTGCTAGTGCTGGATGATGACAAAGGTTTTTTAGTGCTCATGTTTCAAAAATATTTTTCTGCTCCTATCCTTGTTGTGTCAACAGAAAGAAATCAGATAAAAAGAGATTTCTGTGAAGCCTGAAGCTCATTTTGGCAGACAGGGACCTCATTGATATATCAAATAACTATTTATGTAGTACGGCTCATGAAGATAATAAATCTTCCCTTACTGAGAAATACAGGAAGCTAATGGATATTCTTTGTTTCCCATTTTAACTTTTAAATAGCACAAGTTACCATATAAAGTACAGTAGCTCACAGCTACTATGTATTATGCTTTTTAAGTACTAAGAGGTAATGTTTCAACATTATTTAACTATTTATTTTTAGTATTATAGACAGAAAAGGGAAAATTTTGAAAGTATTTATTCACTTCATATATCACAAAGGCTTAATAAAACCCACTACTGACCTGTACCTGATATATGGTATACATTTGGCTTAATGGGAAGAAAAATGAGAAATTAACTAAACAGTAAAAAAAAAAAAAAGCAATTAAGTAAAAATAATTATGGAAACAGGACTGGAAAACATAATGTATTGTACTTACAATCTGTGCTTCTGCAGACTCCCAAACCCGCATGATGATGTCTAAAGCTTATGCTGTAAGAACAACTGTTTCTTTCCACAGTGAGACAACCTTTAGCTAAAGTCAGTCCCTACTAGCAAAACCAGGTGACCACTGCAAACATTGTGTATACACTACTGCATAAATACAGTGCTTCGATAGTTTAAGATGCTCTAAATCACCTCAGGGTATCTTTGCTTCTTCTAACATTAATGGGTAAAGTTCTCTTAATCAGAAGAAGTAAAGAATTTCTTTGTAATAAAGGGGACGGTACTTAAAGTGTTGTAAGAATGAGCAAAATTCAGCAATATTCCAATGATGCTCTATAACTCAATAAGTTTATTAGAGTTCTGGATAACAAATATTTTAAAATGTTTCTTCAATAGCTAATTTCACTATGAAAGAACGTTTGCCTAGGTTCATAATAAAATTCCATATATGCAGCATGACCTCTTTGTGAGAATCCTTACCTCTGGATTGCATTTGTTCAGCTCATCTTTTTGAGCAAACCTGTGCTTAAGAGCCTGTAAAACAGGATAAAGTTAACCTGTACACTGGATACCAATAAGCATATTAAATAAATACTGTATAAACCCCCCAAATGGGTTAAGCACAGTTTAAGCAAGACATTCAACGTAGAAATCTATTGATATTTATCATTTTAATGTTTAGATGGCAAAATTATGAAATAGAGGATTAGTGACCTATACGTAAAATAGTCTGGGCAAATTTTCTCTCAATTTTTCCTGGTATTCTCTGCTTCTTGTTTACGTGGTTGCTATGTAAGGAGAGTTTTACTGGATTTTGTCCACTTAACCATGTTAAAAAATATATAAAGTGTTTTCAGTTCTCCTATGGTGAAATGCAAACTTTGTATTCCTCTTGCAAGTTACCTGTAAGGTGAAGATACAGTGTCAGGTGCAAAAATGTGTTACTGCTAGATTTAGTTATGGCCTGGTGTTACAATCTTACTAACACGAGGTACCAAAAAAGTCTTTCAGGAGAGGTTGTCTTTAGGACTAGGATTACCCCACGTGCATATAACTAGGTGATAGTCTGAGGGAAATATAACCTGATATTAAGTGCACTTGTGTGTAGCATACATGAAAAGTCAACAACACAATTTCTAAAGGTCTGGAGGGTAAAATCGGTAAGTCACTGCTAGAAGATGTAGCATTTAAAATGTATAGACATGTCTTCTATTAATATTTTTTTTAAAACATTGTGTACATTAAGGACTTAAAAATTCTAATTCTTTTGCTACTAAGAACTTATATTAATACACACAGAGGACCTGATTTCGCAGTTACAAAATCATACAGCGATTCATATAAGCAAGCTCCTACAAAAATGCTTACACACCATCATCTGCACCACTGTAACTGACAGGCAGTATATCCTATTGGGGTTTTTTTTTGATATAATTTTTAAAATGACTAATGTAGCATGTTTATCAGGATTAGATATGTGACAATAATTAAAACAAAGGAGTGTGTTTAGCTCTGTTTTTTTACTTAAAATTAAAAAAACCCCATTCGTATGAATCAACAAAATACTTGCTCTGGGATATGGTCAGTTTTTAAAATGTGTTAGCGTAGTTCAGCTAGATAACAGGAAAGTTATAGAAAGACTGTAATCCAAAGACATTTTGTTGAACAATATTAGCTACTATTTATCTTATATGATTTACCAATATTTCACGTAGTCCAGCATGTCTTCCACGCTCTCATGCCTACCAATTACCACTAATAAATGATATTTTAACTAATAGTAGATGTAGTAAATATGGGAACATTAAACACTGCAGGTTAAAAAGCATTATTACTGCTTCAAAAGATGTTAAAACATCTACTTTATTTGCTCAGTACTATAAAGAAAGATAAATTTAATAATACACATTTTATGCTAAGAAAGCCTTAACTGATTGTTACTTACCACAGAAGAATACATATGTTTTATAAGAGCATTTTTTATTTCAGCAAGCTGCACGTTAGACATGGTTTGGTCTGTTTCTTGTGCAGGCGGGGAAGGATTCATTTGGATATCTTCGATATTTTGTATTTCCTCCTGCATAGAGCAAAAAAAATACCACTTTTCCTAGTTCCAAAGCTAAAGCGCTTAAACCAGCTTTTATGTGCTAAGTCTTTTTATACGTTCCGTAGTAAACCCTTGAGTGCATGTGCACGCTAATGTAATTGTTCAAGGGTCTACACAATGTGCCAGATCAACAGCGGGTGGTTTGGAAACAAACCACTGACATTGTAGGAAGCTATAGCATAGGAATTATCAGTGCCAGCCTCCCCATAATTATTCTTCCTAACTGACTTTAACTCTGACCTAATCCCTGTGGCTGAAACAAGAGCTGTGTTTCCATAATGGATTCTCTCTTTGGACTTTTCAAAAACAAAGCCCACACCTTTTCAATTTTTTAAGACACTCTCTCATCAATTTGCCTATGACCATGCATTCATTTTATAAAGGGCATTACAACACAATCTTTTCAGTCCTTGGCTATAAGCTTGAACTAAACTAACAATTTAAAATTTAAAAGTTCCTTTTTAAAAATAATATATTCTCTAAGTCCGCCTATTGTCTCGAGCTATTTCTTCAGCACAGGGAATGAGGAAGTATTTCTCCAACTGGTTATCAACTCATTCTGAAAAGACTCTCAGCAAAGCCACAAGGTAATTTTTGTTAGAGAAAAATAACTACAAAAAGTAAAAGTTATTTCAGGATATGAGGACAACACATGTCTGAAAGAGTTTCAAAGTAAGCTTTTCATCAAAGATACAGAGACTAAGAATAAACCACCATATTTGTTTTAGGCAGACACACATGTAACTACCAAACCAGCTTCTCCCTGCAGTGTGATGACCTAAGAACACAGAAACAGGTGAAGTGTTCCCCCTGGTCACAGTACTGACAGGAATCTTTTATCGGGAACAGATGTGGAAGGCTTGGGGTAGCTTGCCATCGAATTCAAACACCTAAATCTGATGGGTGAATCAAGCATGGGAAGTATGGGAAATAAGAGTAGGCAAAAAACCACCAGTGATGCAGTCGTAAGATGGAAGCCACAAACAGTTGATACTTTCAAGTCTTCAAGATAAAATTTCAAACTCTACACATGTTTCACCCTGTCTGCAGATTTCCCCTTAAATGTATAATTCAAACCAAAAGTATATGGCATGCACCTGACTATATTTCTAAACAAATCCTGGGTTTGTTGCACACTACAGAAGAGAGTTAAGCATTTTTGGTAGCTTGAAAAGAGCTCTAAATAGGTTTTGATGAGCCAGGGGTAACTGAACTCTGATGCATTAACTAGTTCTCACTTCTCATGGCACTTTCTGAACATTATTTTCAACATGCTTATAAAAATAACTTATATTCAAACAATTTACAGTACCATATTGGCAAAATTTTATGAATTGCAGCATGTATCCAACAAAGCATTTAAAGTCACTGTTTAAATTTGAGACTAGCTCCCTAAATTTATGGATGTGCTTTAATATCTTGAACAAATATATTTGACACCTTGTAGGATCAAATCATTAATGACAGTCCCACCGAGTATTTTAACACTAGTTATGAGGTTGAGATTACAAGAACAGATACTGAAATATAAAGATGAAGTAAAGACGGTTCAGAAAAAAAAAAAAATCACAGCTAGAATAGTCTGAACATCAGTGCAGTTCCACTGGAAAAAAAAAAAAAAATACTGTTTTGCTGAATTCAGCATCTGGATGTATAAGTGGGTGTTTAAGGGAGGAAGTGGAATATTTATTTTTTGCTAGAAGTGGCAGTCAAATAACAGGACTACAAATTTACAAAGTTGAAACATTCTAACAAATTATGTGCCAAGTACTTCTGGGAGGGAGAGAAAAGAGCATGTCCGTAGGATTCTTTGATAAAGCCTAATACATTTGGACAAGTGCTGTGATTTGACTGCCTATGTTTTATTCTTCTCCTTTTGAGAGACTAGGAGTCTTGGCAGTTTTCTGAGTTCTTTAGATGCATTTAAATAGAAAGCTAATGCTCTCTTGGCCTCTGAGGTGAATTACTTTAATGAAATCTAAGAAAAAAACATGATACGTGCAAGTTAATGGACTGGTTAAGATGGAAACTTGTTATCACACCTGGGAGGAATTCAGGGTGCATAGCAAGAAACACTTTATTCTCATAGAAATCAATAAAAGGTGAGGTAGCCATAAAAACTTGACACTCATCCTCTAATAATTGTAAATGTCTGTCTTAGCTGAAAGGTGTAATAAGAGAACAGTTTTCCTGAACAAGTTTCATGAAGAGAATAAGCACTAGACTGAGATCCCATGTTGATGTGTGTTTTGTTCAGGGTGTAAAAATCAAGAACTTTCAACCCTCTCCTCGCCCTTCTGTAAGAGCCTTACTGGTCATTAAAACAGGAAGAGCAAAGCACATGCTTTGGTCTCAAGAATCCAAAGGATTTTCAAGTGAAGCAGTACTAGTAACACAGTTTTAGTACCTACTTGCTTGCAAAGGGAGTATTTTCAATTAGCAGCTGACTAAAATCATCCCACAGTCTGAGGAACTACCAGACTAAAAAAATCTTCTGAGGCTTGTTGGTATCAAAGACATTCTTAACAAGTCCTTTTGCCATGCCTAAAGGAGTCCTATTCTCATAGAGTTACTGGTTGCTTATATAATTTTATTTACATATATGGAATGATCTTTCTACAGTAACGGAGAGTTAAATGTACACTCAGATAGCAGTTCATACAACTATTCTAGGAAAGGTTATTCTTGCAGCACCAAGTTCAGTGCACTGACTGAAAAGGGAATACAGGTGACCAGCTTACATGGGATTCCTAGCACAGAAATAGTCTAGGTGAATTTCTTCTGCCTAGTGTACCATTCCTTTACAAAATTCACACTGTAACCACCAGTTCTTCCTAGCTATGAAGGATGACCTGTGAACTGACTTTGAGTTAAGAATCTGAATTTTAACAAAATAATCTACAGATTATTTTACCATAGTCTATTTGTCATGTTACAAAAATAAGGTAGAATTGAGGTCAGTTGACAAAATAAGTTGTTAAATTGATCCTGAAGCATGAAGATCCCATTACAACACTGCCAAACCCACTAAAAAATACATATATTCACATACATAGGTAGACAGATAGATACGTACGCACATTCAAAATCCTTACCAGAATAAAGAGGTTATAAACATGTTTTTTTTTTCTTGGTATTTTGTGAATAACTGTTTAGTTGATGGTCACCTGCACTGGAACTTCCTCCTGAAGTCTAATTAACTGTTCCAGTAATAGCAGCACAAAGCAGGAGCCAAGGAGAAACATGAAGAGGAAGAAGAAATAATGTATGCTTTCTTGGTGTTTTTTCTTCTGGTCTGAAACAAACCACCACTTTTATAAAGAGGATTTTTCTATTATGGAATCAGACTGGTTGAAGTTGAAAGGGATCTCTGATGATCATCTGGTCCAAACCCCCAGCCCAAGGAGGGTACTTGAGCCAGTTGCTCAGGACCATGCCCAGGCGACTTCTGAACATCACCAAGGATGGTGACTCCACAGCCTCTTCAGGCAACATCTTCCAGTGCTCCACCACCCTCACAGTAGAAAAGTGTTTCCTGACTTTCTGACAGAACCTTCTGTGCCTCAGTTTGAGTCCACAGCCTCTTGTCCTGTCACAGTGCACTACTGACAACAGCCTGGCTCTGCCTTCTTTGCACCCTCCCTTCATGTATTTATGTACATTCATAAGCCTTCTCTTCTCTTGGATAAACAGCCCAACAGAAAGTTGTGTTAGCTTTAATCAAATTACAAAACATTCAGGCTGATCATACTCCCCTCTATTATTAATGCTGCATTATTTACAGTAATCAGTAACCTTGACATCAATTGCTAACAATCACAATGCAAAGCTAATCTCAGATGCTTTTCAATTTACTTACCTGAAAAAGATAATCTCCTAGATATTGCAAAGGGTAGCATCGAGCTTCAGAGACACATTTTTTGTTTTGCGTAGGAAGAGTTTTATTATTGACGAATATATGAGTTATACCGCACCCTTCATTCCAAGAGGAACATATGGTTGCCTTTCCAGCTTCAAGAACTCTAAATAAACATATTTGGAAAGATGTATTTACTGCATTATATTAATACTGCCTAAAGCTATCTTATCATTCACAATCTACAGTGTAATAATACAATAGAATAAGGGTTCTAGATGTGTGGCATGACCAACATTCTTTAGGAAGATAAAAGGGTGCTTAACAGCCTTCAGAAAAGGAAAGAACCCACTTAACAAGACATCTTTCTCTTCACAATTTAACACTATTAATTAAAATCAATGTACACCACCTACTTATCTGATAGAATGTTTTACCTGTGCACTTTTTCAAAGATCAGATTTGGTGACAGCAGCTATAATTTACTGCATGATGTCCCCCACAACGATGATGGTCTTTCAAATAAGTTTTGCAATACATTAATTGTTTACCAAAAATGGAACACTGCTCTTCTGAACTCCAACCTGATATTTTCATAATGCAAATAAACTTTCTTACTTTATTTTGGGGTAATTTACAGCATTTGGTGCTGCTCAGTATCACACACAGAAAGCAGATTTGTCTTTGGGACACCATTACACATAAGAGTTTCCCCAGGGGCAATTTCTGGAGCTGTACTGCTGCAACCGTTCCTATCTTTTAGAAAAGACGCTGGTGGAATAAGTAAGGTCTCTTGACATGCTGGATATATGTTTTGTTTTTTACAGAGCAGGTAAAATTTTTCAAAGTTTTTTACATTAAAACCAAAAATGATGCTGTTCTCAGACACCCATCCAACAGCTAGGCACTGAAGGAATGAAAAGCATAAGAGGGGGAAAAAAGGCAGTGTTGTAAACGTTGGATAAAAATCAATCTTTCCCCAAAGCCTTTATGAATGAAAACAATACCTGCTGAGATTAAAACACATCTCCTTTGCAGTGTTTTCTGACTGAGTAGAAGGATCCTGATGCTGGTGCATGGGAAATAGTCTGGAAGAAGAGATACCTTCCACAAAGCTGCCTGTTCACCTGTACTGCTGATGTAGTTCCTGTTAAAGGTTATTTCTATTGCTAAGAGTTGTGAAAGACAGCATTTCCACAGGGTTATCACGAAGATCTGCATAAGCATTTTTTATGGAAAAAGAAACAGCATTTTTCACAAGTGTAGCAGGATAAGCGCATCTTTCTGCAAGACAGCACATAGTAAACTCTTCCGCTCAGCCAAGAAAACAGCATACTTAGAATGTCTTCAGCTGGCAAAGTCAGAAGATGGTAACTTCAAGTTACACCTCACTGTCTTCACGAAGTGCAGACAGACAGGCATTCTGCGATGCAGCAGGCAGCCCTGTACTGTCACCAACCACACAAACTGCACTCCCCTTCTTGCCTGTGTATCTGCAGCATGCCCAGACCGAGGGCTCCCCACTAACCGGGATTTCAACAGAGCAGGGTAGGCCAGTATCTGCTCCTGCAATGAATGTAAAGCTCTAAACAGCACCAGGGATGTTTGTTCCTACTGTATCAGAAGTAAACATCACTTAATATGCTCTGACTATTTAATCCAATGTGCAGAAAGAGCATGGGGAAAAAAAAACCCAAACAAACAGTTCCAGAATTCTTGCACTTCAGTTATTTTCCTCTTCTCTGCTTTTCCTTTATCCTTTCCCTTCTGAACTGTCTGTATTTACATCGTATCAGAAACATCTACTAAAATACAAATGAGGTCTTCAGAACTACAAGAAGCTGTGATGTGGCACAAAAAAACGACTCAGGTCAGTCACAGTGTGGCTCACACCTGTAAGACACAGCTGGCTCAGGTCACCCACACAACTGAAATAACCTATCCTGTCCCAGCTACTATCTGAAAGTAACACTCAAACAAAACAAATGATTATTCATAGAAAACAGAAGCCTATGTAAGCCTCAAGAAGAAAGTTTCTGTAAGCAGTTTACTCAAGATGCAAAGACATGTGAATGCGTGTTATTTCTGACAGTATAATAGAAGAAAGTAAGAAAAGTAGTGATATTAAAGATACAAAGTATTTTTATTATAAAAAGTATTGAAGCATACTATTGAAAATAATTCAGAATTTGAAGAGCTGGAGATCGTTACGGACCAAATCAACTGTTTTTTTTTTTTTATTCTGGGGTTTTTCTTGCTATGGACCAAAATTGTGTTCAATCATATAATAAGCGTTCCATTGTTTAAGCTTTAAGACATATCCTCCTACCTTCTAATACACTCCATTCGTTTACAACCTTCTATAACAGGGAGGACAACTTTCCATCTGTGGAAGGCCCCTGGAGCCCTAGTGCGTGTCAGTTCTTCGCGCCATCTTTTAGGTGCAGATTGCATTTGAGGTGAATAATCGGTGTCTTTTTCAATTTTATATCCCCATTCGTACGTTGTTTCATCAAGCCATCTGCCACTTTCGGCACTATTAATTATGTACTCCTTAGTTAGTATCCACTTTCCTAAAAAGCAAATGAACTGTCAACCACAAAAGATTTTTTTGCACAGACAAATGGCAATCAACTGAAGATCTAATATAAAATTAACTTCAACCTTTCTTGTGCAAATAAAAGCTGGAATTATAAGTACCATTTTAAAAACTTCTTCCTACTACGAGAGTTCTCCTCTTCACACTTTAGAATCGGAGATCTCACAATGCCACTGAAAATGATCGTTTTGTTTTCTTTTAACGATGAAGTACCTTTTTACCCTTCCTAGATAAAATACTTGTCTATCTCCTCAAAAATCTGCAGCGGAATTTTTCAGCTTCCCAGATTTTGTACTTATGACTTTCACAGAACCTTGCTTAACCCTTTATTTTTAATACCATTTGACACTTTCACAAATGTCCTAAAACATAGAAAAATTAAGAAATATTTTGCCAGCAATAATTAAAAAAGAGGAATGAAGGTTTTAGCATGTAATTGGTTTCTTTTATATAGTCTTAATATTACTCGCACTGCGAGTGTAGCGAATACCAATATTAGGGGGATACGGTTTTAGACTTTTGTCTTTCCCCTTTCTTCTTTTCACATCCTTTTCTCTCATCCCTTGGCTCCACCTCCTCCGCCTCTCCCCTTTCATCTTCCGCATGTATGCTTTTGATACTGTATGTAATGATCTTCCCCTTTTTCTCCGTCTCTCTCTTCTTACAAGTTCGGGTCAAGAGCCGTGGTTAGTACCCTGCTCCCGTATTGAAACACTACTTACAGAAGATACTGTAAGAGAAATTGAGTCGAATTGTGTGAACCTAATTGGTTTCACAGAACAGCAGGGTTGACTGGCAAAATGTCTCAGTGCAGGAGCACAGATGGTACTTCTACATAACCTAGCATAGGTACCAGTAGACTTATGACTGGAAAAGGTATACTGCGCACAACCTGTATGTTAAAATCACTTTCATTTCAAAGTTTCCATCTCAAAACTTCTGTCAGCGAGGAAGTCCATGAAGACTGGCATCCTTGTTAGCATTTCTCTTCACCTCTAGGGAGTTCTAAACGGGTTTACACATGATCTTTTACACTTCCTCGGGAAAAACTGCAGTAGGCGTGAACGCACTCTCTCTGCCACCAAGGGCAAGAGCAATGATTATGCAAAAATAGCACCTCTTCTGGGATTAAAAAGTACTAGATGGCATTGGGGAAGATTTGCAAGTATAGAAACATGACAGAGTTTTGCATTGCCATGTGGACGCTACATGTATCGTTTCCACTCAGTTCAAGAAAACATCTCCAGACGTTTTGAATTCCGAGAACTAAGGAAACATTAACTCAACAGTTTATAACAGTTAAAATGAAGTGCTATGCCACAACTCTATCTGCATTTTAATATTGCTTCCCTCACGGAAACTTCTAGTCTATTTCCTTTTTGATTAGAAAGTGATTAGAATTTTACATTACTGCAAGGAATCAGCCTTATATATATATACACGCACAAGTCCCTACAGTCTAGCAGCGATAAATGACTGAAAATGCCTACTAATATGGTATGCAAGTACAAATATAAAATCAAGAATCTTAAATGTATCTTTAAATCTAAATATACATTCAGTTATTTATCTCATAAATTTAAGGTTATCCATCTTAAAAAATGCTTTAACACTTTGATATAATATAAAATAATGAAAACAAAGATCATATTTAAACAGATAATAGATCAGTATTGTGAAATCTCATAAGCCCACAAGATTCGCTAAACTCATCATAAAATCCTTCCAGGCAATCCGTCTATAAAAAAAAATAAAATCTTAAAATACAAAATTCTCATTCTGAAATCATCTTAGCTCCTTATGTATGGGATTCCAGCACCAGGCCTCAGGTAAAAAATAAGTACGAGGGAAGAGCAGGGGCTTGTGTCAGAATGCCAAAGTCTGGAATTTTCTCTTGCTGCATAAACAGAAACTTACAGTGACCTTTACCAGTGGATGTTGCATGTGAATTTCAATGCTGACTACAGGTGTCCATACTCTCTCTCTCTCTCCTTCCTTTCCAAGCGATCTGTTTTTAAGCATCCATACCATTTGTGTGTAACTTCATGATTTAACTAATATAACAAAGCTTCCTGTTGGGGAACGGGTGCAGATTAAAAAAAAAAAAAGAAGGTGGCAAGAATATAATTTAGGAAAAAAATCCAAACCAAAATGAAGTAAACAAACTTGAACATAATACTATGTTAAAAATCAAGGTTAATAGAACAAGAATAATGCGGGTTTGTAAGCAGTTCATTCAAAAAATGAAACCTGGGAATTAGAAGCCTTTTAGGGGTTCTTTGCAGTCCTATGTTATAATCCCATGACGTTTGTCAGCAAACATTTTACTCACCTGCAGCACAAGCAGCTAAGAACTTTTCACTCTTGCACAGCTTTTTTGCTATAAGATGCGTGGTATGATTTCTGTATTTCTAATAAAACAAAACCAAAACAACTCGTTTGTACCATTGGAAACAGTTTAGCCTTCTTGGCTATTTAATTCACAACTACTGCACAGTTCTTTCTCACACTTTTTTAGTTATGCTCTACCCATCAGGTAGCGAACAATACCTTACTATCTAAAATAACACAGTCCAGTTTGGACAGGTGCTGGATTAGTGCCGCCTTCTCTTGTTTTCTAAATCCAGTGAACTGGATTATCCGCTGCTGGCCGCCACTTGCCATCTGTTAAAGGAGAAACAAACGAAAAGTTAACACTCAGAATACAGGCCACGAGACGTTCCCCGCACGGCGTTACTAGCATTCCCCAACTGCTTTCGTTGAAAACAACAAAAACAGGAAAACACACCGCGAGGCGGCTGCCTGCCGGGGTTAGGACACCTGAAAGGCGGCACAGGGCATTAGAGACGCCCAAACTCCGGCCTCAGGCCGCCCGGACGCTCCCTCCGCGCCCCGTGAGGGAGCAGCCGCCCACCCCG